AGGATTTCTGTCTTTGTTAGTTCTATTGCTAAAATAAATAAGTTTAAAAAATATGTACAAGTTTTACAACCCCCCCCCAAATGGAAAAAAACCAAAGACAAACATGTTAAAAAGACAAGAAAAAGCAATTAAAACTAAACAAAAAAGGAAACCAAGGATAAAAAAGGGATTTCAAACTATCTATACATATCATGTATCCGTCAAACATTAAACGGCATTTAAGTTTCTAAGTCTAAATGAAAGAGAATAAATAATAATACTCTTCTGTGGCAACAGCCATAAAATCTGTGCCAAAGGGCAACATTGTAAGCCGTTCTTGCGATTTCCCTTCCTCTGCAGAGCCGGGAAACCTCCGAACCCCACGCGGCTCGTGTGACCTAGACGCGTCTCTTTTCGTAGATCTTTAACGTTGGAGGCGTTTTGCTGAAAGACCGAGCCGCCGGCCTTGCGTAAAGCGGCTTCAATCAATATTTTTGCGCAAATCCCCAAGAAGTGAGAGTGCCCCTGCCGTTTGCAAAAAAAACAAACAAAAAAAACCCCGCAAGAGCCCAACGGGTCACAGGTCGCAGACCGAAATTGTACCAGTGGAGGCAGCGAGGGAAGGAAGCGCGGAATGTGCGCGGAATGTGCGCAGGCTGCTTGGACAGTAACGCGCGCTTCCAGCCCCCAGACCGCGCGCTGCCTTATAAATACGTCTGTTCACAAGGAGACCCCGCTGAGCTAAATGGGGCGCATGTTGAGATGCGTATGTTGGGAAACAGCTGGAAATCGTAGGGAAAAGTGTGCGCAGAGTGAGCGCGCTTCCCGGAGACTGGAAGGAACCCCCTCCCGCGGGATCCCCGCAGCATCTCCCCTCGGCAGATTTGAAGTTGGGACTTGGAGGGTTTGAATTTGCTGACGTTCCGAATAGGGTCTGTCCGACTTCCTGCTGGCTCGACTTTTGCCCCAGCTCTGCAAATAAAGCAAAGCAAAGCAAAGCGGGGCTTCGGGAGGGGCTAGGAAAAGTCCCCAGAGAGAGCAAGACTGGAACCCACACCTGTTTCTCCGGAGTAGCCGCCGGGCACCCGACCGCTTTTACGTAGCCGAGGAAAGAGGGAGGGGAAAGCCGCGTTTCCTCATCACATCGGAGCGTAGGGCAGGCTTATAAAAACTGCAGCTCCCGCTCCTTCCATAGAGGCTCATGGAAAGGGTGAATAAAAGCAAACGCGGGTTCCGATCGCTGCTGGTGCTGCGAGTTCTTCGGCCAGCAACGGAGGCGCAGCGCGGACTCGGAGCTAAATCGCGCGGGCACCTCGGCAGTCTGAGCAGACAATGGGGCTTCAGTCCGAAAACAGCAAAGCCCCAGCAACCGATGATAAGCCTCCGAGATTAAACACCTGCCCGAGCAAGGTCTTCTGTAACATTAAGGTAAGAAGGACCTTCGCTCTGAGAGGAAGAGGGGGAGGTGGTTGGAGAGGAGCCCGCCTCGCTCCAGGCTTTGTTCGCAGCGGACGGACGCGTGTTCCTTCTTTCTATGGACCGAGCGGGGTCGAGATGCCCCGCTGCTGTTCGCCTGCTGTCAGTGAAGCCCTTGCTTCTTGCCTGGCGCCTCGTCCAAGCCACCTTCAAGCTCATTTTAAAATTAGCAGGGTTTCAACTGTGAAAATGCTATTAGACTAAACCTACCTGTATTCAGCTGAGATTCCTAAACCTAATGGGTTCCTTGGAGGCTGTATGCAGCCTTTAAACTGGACCTATCAAGACTGTGTCCTCTCTGTGCACCTCTTTCCTCAGTTATTTACCATATTTCTAAGGCCACCTGACTCTAGAAAAACTCTCGGTGACATACAGCATTAAAAACAGCAAAGAACAATATAAACAGAAGAACAATGCATGTCCGGAAAAAAATGCAAAGTATCCTACAAAATCTTATACTGTAAGAAGCTTGCTACCCATTCCAGCTCAAGCCCTGGAGAAAAAGGTCGTTAAATGCTGTCAGTGTAGGGGCCATGCAGATCTCGGGGGGGGGGGGGGGG